ACGATAGCAGACGATAGTGCTAACTAGGGGCTGCCAGGGCCCGCTGCAGACGATAGAGAACCGGCGCGGACGATAGCAGAAGATAGAATCTGATAGGGGCCGCCGGGGGTGGCTGTCGTCGGCTATCAAATGCAGCAGACGATAGCGGACGATAGGACCAGCTGGGAGCTGCCAGGACCCGCATCAACGTCCAGAAGCAAATCACCAGAACACAATTATCGTGAACGCCGCCATCTGCAGCATCCAAGTCAGCATCGTACCTGTCATCATCACCTAAGTCATTATCTCAATATCAGCACCACTACCGTCACAATCAAAATCACTACAATGATCGCCATCAGCATATCCCCCGTCGACGGAGTCATCACCGCGATCGTACAAACCATCTTCATCATCATAAGCACACGCTTCAGCCTCATCATCAGCATCATGGTCGTCGTCGCAATCATCATCGTCATGGGCATCACCACAACAAACACAATCAACATCATCATTACCATCGTCGTCGCTATGATAATCATATCCCTCATCATTAATTACCATATACATCTTTCCGTCCCTTCCTCCTCACCAGCACCATTAATGCTGTCATCCTCCTCATCGCTGTTCAACAACGAGCGCATTGCCATAATAAGGGCCATCGCCCTGATCAGCATCAACGTTCAGAATCATATCACCCGAAACATGATTACCGTGAACGCCGCTATCTGCAGCATCCAAGTCATCATCGTAACCATCATCATCATCATCAAGATCCAAGTCAGGTATCTCAGCATCAGCACCACCATCATCACAACCAAAATCGTTACAATGATCGCCATCAGCATTTCCCCGGTCGACGGAAGCATCACCACGATCGTACAAACAATCCTCATCATCATAAGCGCAATCTTCAGCCTCATCATCATCGTCGTCGTCATCATCACTGTCATGAGCATCACCACCACGCCCACAATCAACATCATCACTACCATCGTCGTCGTTCTGATCATCATCTCCCTCATCATTACGATGGCCCTCATAACATGCTATCCTCTACCTGCTTACCTCTCATCCTCCTCACCAGCACCATTCATTTTGTTGTCATCCTCCCTGCTTATTCAACAACGGGCGCATTGCCATGATAAGCGCCATCATCCTAATCAGCATCACCGTTCAAAAGCAAAGCACAATAACATCATTATCGTGAACGCCGCCAGCTGCAGCATCGAAGTCATCATCGTACTCATCATTATCATCATCCCAATCGCTATCTCAATACCAGCACCATCACCACTGCAGTCACAATCGTCGGGTGATCCCGGAGTCCGGTGGGTCGGGAGTCCGGCGGGACCTGCAAGTCCGGTGAGGTCTGGTGGATCCTGCGAGTCTGGTGAGTCCGGCGAATCCGGTGAAACTGGTGGGTCGGGTGTGTCCGGCGTGTCCGGTGTGTCTGGTGTGTCCGGTGTGTCCGGTGTGTCCGTTGTGTCCGGTGTGTCCGGTGTGTCCGGTGTGTCCGGTGGCCGGCGTGTCCGGTGAGTCTGGTGAGTCCAGCGCGGTGGCTGGGGCAGCAGGCAAGACCATTCTGCCGTCCTTTGGCGGCCGCAAGGGCCAACGGTGAATTGTCGACCAGAGTTTACCAAGCCAACTCCGCAGAAGATGACGAGCCCCGAGAACTTGCGCTTCTCCCCCGAGACCCAAGATGTTCATGTCCTCAGAGATCTTCACCGCCGCGACTCCAGCCCAAGACGACTCCACCAAGATATCCTCCGGGGCCTCGTCGAATCAGGAATCCGAGACGCTCAGGAACTCCAAACGCTGCAGAGAACTGGGGAGAGGAGGTGATGAGATGACAGCATGTCCGAGGGCTCTCTCGCGAGCGCGAGCGCCGCCCTCCACGCGATATCGCCGGCGCTCCGACTGGCGCCCTATCTCGGCGACCCGCTCTGGAGGCAGGCGCCGGCGCACCTGCCCGAGCCCGAACTCCGACGCGTCGGGGGCGACGACCTGCGAGTGCCAGGGTGCCGGCAGGTCTGCCTGTAGCAGCGGCAGCAGACAGCGCGCCTGCCAGGGCTCCCGCCTCACGCTCTGCCACGGTATGATGGGCCCAGACCCGGCCTCGGCAGCGAAGGCGTAGGCCGCCTGGATCAGGCAGAGCGCCTCGCGACGCAGCAGCGCCGCCCTGGTGACGCGGCCGAGAGGGGCCTTCATGAGCGCGCCGCTGCACGTGCCGACCCGCAGCAGCTTCTCGATCGCGAGCCGAAAGCGCCAGAGGCACCTGGGCCGCGTCGCGAGGAAGCGGCCCTCGGACAGGCGGAACCCAGGGAGCTCGGAGTCGCGGCAAGCGGGCTCTGGTCGCGCACCGCGAAGCCCAGATCAACCAGCTGCTGCCGCGCGGCCCGGGCCCTGCGGTCGGCGACGCCAGCGTCGGTGTCGAGCGCGAAGTAGCGGTCGACGCACCCCGCGGCCGCCGACGGCTGCCCGCGCTCAGCGCGCCGCCCAGGCTGCCCGTCCTCGACGAGGTGGCTGGGCGATAAGCCACCCGGGCTGAAGCCTCGCCGAAGCACGCCCTGACACAGGTGTAGCGCCCGCGAGAAGCTCATCGGCAGCGCGCGGAAACGCGGCGCGATGGGCTCGCCTGCGCCGGCAGGCAATCCAGCGACGCCGCAGCTCCGCAGCAGCCCCGCGCCCAGGCTGGGGGGCGAGAAGTGGTCGACCATGTCGGGCGGCGCCAGCGCGCGACAAAATGCAGCCCCCAGGCCCCCTGGCGCGATTCAGACCCTCTCGTCGGCCTCCAGCGCCCCAGCGGCTGAGGGCGTCGGGGGGCGAGTAGAGGGGGCAAGCAGGAAGTCGCAGTTGACCCCCCACGCGTCGAAGATGATGCGCAGGCGCTCGACTTACGACGCGCGAGGAAAAGTCCGGGGCCCCCGCCGCGACCATGCTTCCAAATCAGCATGCCTCGACGCCTGGCCTCTCTCAGAAAGGTAGCGCAATCGCGATCGCCACGCTGCGGCAGCGGGTCGACGCATGCGCCCCGCGGGCAAGCCTCAGCGCGGAGGCTCCGAGCGGCAGGGGGCGGTCGCAGCACGCGCCCCTTCCAGTCCCCGAGCCACGTGGCGCCCGCGCCCCCCAACAGGTCGGTCAGGCGCACGAGCTTGCTGGAGAGGGGCGGCCAAGCGATCTTGTCGCCGTCAAAGGGAGCGACGGGCCCGCCACCGCTGGAGTAGCCGGGCGCGCCTGACAGGAGCGCGCACAGGGCTCCCCGTCCTGGGTGAAGATCTGCAGGAGGGGGGCCGACGCGCCGATAACTCTGGCGAATATGTTCCAGGACCAAGCGCTGACCCGCGATGGGGCCGACGCTGGAGCGGGAACCAAGCCTGCCCACGCGTCAGCATGGGCAACGCGAAGGCGACGGCGGACCGCGCGACGGCTAGCAGGTCCATGACAAAACTGCTGGGACATCGGCTCCAAGGCAGGCAGGCAGGTCGCGCTGGCGGCCGCCCTCCATGCCTTCGCAGAACGGGCGTCACCACGGGCCAAAGGGCGAGCGCAGCGCGGGCAGCCCAACTCCCACGCTGCAAGGCAATCGCGCCTCGGCCCCCTGCCCCTGCTGGCCCTTCTTGCCAGATCGCTTGGCATTGGGCTTTGCGAGGGCTCGTTCCTCGCGCGCCTTGCGGCGCTCCTTCGCCAGCGCCGCCTCGCGCGCCAGATCGGCAGCCGCATGCGTCTGCAACGGCGGGCAGACACGCAGATTCCCTCGTGAGTGCTGACTCCCAAGGAACAAGTGCCTGTCGAAACTCTCGTCGTCCTGATCCTCATTGAGGAAGTGGCGGTACATGTCCTCCTGAACTTGCAGCGAGCGGCGCACAATCTCGAATGAAGTCAGCGACGCCACGCTGACCTGGTCGTAGCACGCGCCCTCCTGCAAGATACGGCAGCACCCCTCGTGCTCGACAGCTCCAGGATCGGCATCGGCGAGGCGCAGGGTGGTCTTGAACAGCGTGTGCCTGCCAAGAGGGGTGCCGCCGCGCTCGCAGGTAAAGCGACGCTCCCAGAGACAGGTCCGGGGTCCCGAAAGTCTCCAATCGGGCCAAGGATATTCCACCAACCGAAGGACACCCTCTCTAAATTCGACGTTGCGCTGCCCAAGCGCAGCGCCACAGCCAACACCCTGGGATCAGGAGAGGCGGGCAAGGCGGCAGCTGCACCAGGGGCAGCCGCGATCGCCATCAGCGGGGCGGCGTCGTCGGGTGCCACCACAGGCGCTGCGGCCGCGCCAGGCACCGCTGGCGCGCCTGCTCATCCGCCAGCAGGTGGCAACACCGCGGGCGCCGGCGGCGGGGCCGCCAGAGCACCCGGAGCAGCCGGCGCGGGCGCGACAGGGGCCGCTGCGCCTCCAGGCGGCAAGCCAGCCGCGGGGCCAGCAGTACCCGCCACGGGGCCTCCGAGCGCAACCGCCGCAGGGCCCACGCCGCCCACCAAACCTCCAGCGGGTCCGTCTCCAGATCCCCCACCACCAGCGGCGGCAGGTCCAGCTACAGCTCCAGGCTCAGCGAGTGCGTGCACCCCGGCGGGCAATCCCAACACGCTGCCAGCACCCAACTCCAGGTTCAGCACCCGTGCTGGCGGCCGCGGGAAGCCAGAAGCCACCCCGCGCGCGATGGCGGCCCAGGCCTCAGCGGCAGTCGGCAGTCGCCGAAACCGATGCACGTGCCCTCCGCCGAGCCCGCCTGGAGTCGCCCCTTGGCCCGCGATCCTGATGACCTCTGCCATGTCGGGCCCAGGAGCACTCGCCTCGTCCTAGTCGTCGCCGTCTGGAGTCATGATATACGACAGGGCACCCCTCTCCCCGAGCGTCAAGAGCTCGTGCCACAGTAGCGGACCCGCGACGCGGTACCGCACCAGGTAGAACGAGCCCGCCATCACCGCGACTGTAGTTGCCGAGGCCGGCTAGCAAGCGCCTGCGCAGCGGCGAGCTCTGCCAAATCGATCTCCACGAACGCGGGGGCTCCCGCCACAGCCTACGCAGGCTCCAGCCCGAGCGGGCTGGCTGAGCCCTGCGCCGAGCCGCCACAGCTGCAGGAGGCCAGGAGCCCCCGCAACACCAGCGGCAGCCGCGCGGCAGCCCCCAGCAGCAGCTTCCCAGCCTGCAGGAAGATCAGGCCGAGCAGGCTGATGACCAGCTGGCTCAACCACGAAAGCCCCGCGTCGCCTGCCACGGGGCAAGCCAGGCAAGGGGTACACGGCACAGGGCAGCTCTGCTCCTCGGGAGCCTCCACGACGGCCGAGATGCACTCCGAGAGCGGCACGAGGCGGGCCCCCACCTCACAAGCCTCTCCCGCGCTGTGCCCAAGGCCAGCGCTGGCTGAAGGCGGCGTTGACGGCACCCGCGATACCCACGGCGCAGAGAGCCACCACCAGCGCGGCAGGCCAATCGCGCTGAGGTGAGCGAAGAACGAAAGCCCGACCCCTCGTGCCTGCAAGAGGGCGAGGGCGCTGCGCCCTCAAAGACTTGAGCAAGTACATCGACGTGTAATGTCGATGCGGCGATCATTCAACTGCTCTGCACATCACGTCTGCTTGTTGAAAGATATACACATGTATGCTACACATCATATACTACACGCAATAGGTGGTACCACAGTATTTCCACGACATATGCTTTGCAGCATGTATTGCTAGAAACACACTGATTTGCGTCCACGCTGGCTACCACATCCATGTAGCTAAAAGAAGAACGCCGTGACTTTGAAACATCCATCGATCTCATACCGAAAAGACACTACCATTGAAACATCGTCTGGGTTCTGAACAATTAAGTCTGGTGATTACCCCCCTGATCCTCTGCCCCAATACCCAAAACGGTTGCCAGAAGCTCCGAGAATAATCTAATACGACCCATGGCTCACTGAGACTCTAAGCAGCTCACAAGAAGCGACCAAGGCCAGTAAGACCCTTAGAGGTTCAAAGCTGTTCAGGAAAACGAGATAGGTAATCGGCGCTTGCGCCTCCCATCTTAGGATGCCTTCAAGGACGCTTCCGATATCCCCAAGAGAGCGGCCGAGGGCCTCAAAGCCCCCGAGACTGTCCAAGACGGACGGCGCCACGATGGCCCCAAGGCTCTCCAAGAATTGCCAAGGCAGCGCAAGAGGGCTCTGAGGCAGCCCCATGAAGCTCTCCAAAGCCACCGAGAGGATCCCGAGAGGCTCCCAAGAGGCACTGCAGAAGCCCTCCACAAGCCTCCAAACAGCTCACAAGGGCAACGCAAAAATCATGCAACATAACGGCCGCGCCACGCTACATTGCTCCCACTCACTGCTTCCCAGACGGCACCAATCCGGTCATGCCGGGCCTGTTCGGGAGAGCTCGGCTGGAGAATCCTGCATGACGCTCGGTGTCGCACAAGCGCGGTGGCTGCGTTTGCCGCGCGGGGCAGCTGGATACAACCAAACTTCTAGAACAACGTCAAAGCAGAAGTTGTTTGCAAGTATCATGGAGGGCCTCCGAAGGCCAGACAGGAAGGGGAGGAGGAAGGACGGGGAGTAGGTGGAGGAGGATGAGTAGAAGGTGCAGGAGGGGAGGAAGAGAGGACGACCAGGTGGAGGAGGAGAGGAGGAAGGACGGGGAGGAGGAGGAGGAGGAGGAGGAGGAGGAAGAGGAGAAGGAGGAGGAGGAGGAGGAGGAGCAGAAATGGATCGAGGATCAAGGTGTTTGGGCATCTTGGGCCTTTCTGGGCCTCGGGCATAATGGGCCCTGGAGATGACAGGGCCGTGCCTTACCTGTTCCGTTTGCCATTCTTGTTGCAACTTCCGACTCCGTTTTTTCCGCGACTCCGTCGCCGTTCTTTATCCTTGCTCCAGATCCAGCTCTCGTTCCAGAGCAACTTTGGTCCCGCTTCCACGAGCCGTTTTTTGCTTTACCATTTTCACGTTCCAAATACGGCGAGTCGAAAACGGCGAACAAAACGGGAAGCCTAGGGAGGCCTCCTGAGGCCCCCTGCGGGACCTCCGCAAGCCTCCTGGTGACCCGGTGTGTCCTCTTGTCGGCGACGAGCGAGGGGGGGGAACAGAGGAGGAAACCTTCGCAGAAGGTGGCGGGGCTTCTCAGGAGCCCTCCGGTCTTCTGAGCAGTTTCCTGTGTCTTCGGGGAATGTTGTTTCTCCATCGCTGGGCGACATGGCAGTGCGCTGCCACTGGGGTGGACAGATTTTAAAACAAAATAGACGCCAACTTCTGCCGAATAGAGAATAAGCTGGCATCTATCGAATCTAGCCGGCAGTGAGACTGAGCGTGCACACCGATTCCATCCCTGACCTGTCACACAAACGTCAAGCATTCTGCCAGCGCGGCAACCTCAGACTAGAACGAGTCAAACCAGCAGCATCCTTTCTCTCTCTCCTCTTCCTCCTCCTCCTCCTCCTCCTCCTCCTCCTCCTCCTCCTCCTCCTCCTCCTCCTCCTCTCCCTCCCACGCCAGATGTGCCCTGCTAGGACGGGAAGGCGACTCGCCTCTTGCCGTCCAAGGGCGCGGGCACATACGGTGAGTTTTATAAAGTCTAGGCTCACGCAATCTGCATGACTCGCGGCGGGATCGCGCCGACGTGTGGCGAGCAGAACCCCCGAGAAGGCACGCAGGCCCCGTCGCACTCCCGGTGTGCAGCGCTGCCACGACCTGCTGGAGGCCAGAGGACGCGCTGGACGAGCGTGCGAGCAGCCACCGAAGCCGCGCCTACGCTTGCCTTGCCGCCACGGCCCGGTGCGCAGCGCCGTAGAGGGCGGGACCCCCGCCGTCCCTCCACGGCCCATCTCCTTCTCAGTGTTGCGTGCTTTTCTTAGCTGGTGCTTGGGGACCTGGGACGTGGATAGCGTGCCGCGCCGAAGCGTGGGGGCCTGCAGCACGACTCGCTGTCCACGTCACGTCTTTGTTCTCTACCGTGCCCTTCTTCTCGTCAAGGGAGCACATTTTTCGCCAACATTCTGATCGTATCGTTACTCTCGTCGCGACTGTGGAATTCCCCTCGACGACATGGCAATCACGTCTGCTCGCCAGGAGCGTGCTCTGCTGAGGCCAGGCCTGACGGCGGCGCACCAGCGTGGCAGGCGCTCCTCTTCCACCTCCCCCTTCCACTACTCATCTTCTCCTCCAAAAGCCCTCCTCCATTGGCCTTTCGATCGCCATGCCCCTGGCTCTAACCTGGCTCTGCCGCAGCCGAGGAGCTCACCCTCACTAGAATCGAGACGACTCGCAACAGACCATTTGCAGAGAACTCGCGCATGCCGGAGCGCAGTATAGGATAGGGCGAGGAGGCCAAGAGGAGTATCCGAGGGAGCGGGGGCGAGAGGGCGCAGGGAGGACTTGGGCGAACGTGTGATGTGGCAGATTCTTCAAACGGAGGAGCACCACACTTGCTCCCCAAAGTGAGACAAAATGGTGGGAGCGTGGAGCAAATTCTGGCACCTGCGCCAACTTGGACCTGCGTCCTCCCTCCATTCGTTTTTGGCGGCGCGCATCAGGGGGTGGAGGGAGGGGGCGTCCGAGCACTTAAAAAATCGTTGCCTCCTCGCGTGCGGGTCCGGCGTCTGCGGCCCTCGGCCCCTGAGGGGGACGCCCTTTTGCGCATCCTCCCCCCCGTCCGATGCGGCGAGACCAGCACGCCAAATGATTCCTAGCCGCGTGCACTGCAGCGCCCCCAGGGGGGCCTGCTCCCCACCGGGGAATTAGGCTTAGGTCGGGCATGTCCCCCTAGAGGCGGATTTTGGACGAAAAACTAAGAATACGCTGAAAACGCCCCAGAAATAAAAAATAGCCAAAAAATCCTCCCTCGACTACGTTTGGACTGTTTGAGAACATTCCTCCTGTAGATAGGCGGCGAGCCAGGGGGGGAATGGAGAAGGGGCGTGCCTTCTCAGAAGGCTCGGAAGTCCCCCGGCCTTCTGAGAAATTGTCTGAGCCTTCCCCGAAGACAGACAAAACTTCTCAGAAGGCCGGAGGCCTTTGAGAAGTCCCGCCGCCTTCTGAGAAGGCCTTCTCCTCCTCATCTCCCCCCCTCGCTCGCCGCCGAAAAATGAAGAATACGCAGAACATGCCCCAGAAAGGATCAAAAATAGCCAAAACATCGTCCCTCGACCATGTTTGGACTCTTTTGGACATATTCCTCCCTGTAGAGGGACAGGCCCGACGCAAGAGTACGCTCCCCAGCGAGCCGCCGCCGCGCTGCCCCGCGCGAGCCCTCGGGGCACCCGCGCGAGCCATTTCTGGCGCCTCGGGCGTTAGCCCCCGCTGTTGTGACTCCCTCCTCCCTCCTCCCTCCTCCCTCCTCCCTCCTCCCGCCTCCCTCCTCCCTCCTCCGCCTCCCTCCTCCCTCCCCCTCCCTCCCTCCTCCCGCCTCCTCCTTCCCTCCTCCCTCCTCCCTCCTCCCTCCTCCTCCTCCTCCTCCTCCCTCCTCCTCCTCCCATCCCGTGTCTACCCTCGCAACTGAATGGGCCCCGCGCATCCGCACCATGCAAGCTCGAGTCTCGCAGAATACGCTGCCCCATAACGGAGCTCTGCCGAGCGGTCCCCGCCCTGCACAGAGATCGGTTGCAGAGCTATCCCGTGATGATGAGCGCAACAGCTGCAGTGCATCCCGAAAACGGGGCAATCACGGGCAGCAGATCAGCATTTGTGAATGGCACCGGATAGAGGAGCCACAATTCGAGAAGCTGCAGCTCGTACATGCTTGATGTCATTTCATTGAAGCGTGTCGTGTGATGAACTGCTCTCGATAATAGGCTAAACTTGAAACGTAATAATTCCGAGCGCCAGGTCGGACGTGAGACCTGCCCTCCTCGAAGAAGGCACGTCCAACTTGAAACAGTCAGCGAAGAGTCAGCGAGCGAATGAGAGCACACTGATGAAGGAACTGATGATGACGATGATGCACATGAGGGCACACCGAACACGATCAAACAAAGATCCCACTGCGCCGTGCAACATATCTGACGGGGCACGCGCTGTCACGTCGTGATCATATATCCGTCACGGTTCCGTGGCAACACGCTACTGCTGCTACGCGGTCAGGCGGATGGGTACTGCTGCTGCCATGTTCTGGCGCCTGCTAACTGCTGAAACAAATTTTAAGTTCAACTGATACGTGCCAGTCGGGGCCGCTTGCATTTCTCACAAGGGAACGAAGGCACGCTCTGACATGGCAGCAGCAGGAATGATCGAAGGACTGCTTCATGAACCCCGCGGCCCCAGCCAGGCCAATCCAATCACACGTCGGCGCCACTGCTTGGGAGGAAAGCTGGGGAGAGGAGAGGAAGATGGGCACGAAGATGATAATGAGAGGGGGGGCGAGAGGGGAGAGCGGGCGGAAGGGCCTCCATGCTCACGCCGGCGCTGAGCCGGGCTCCACGGCGAACTGGCAGAGCCCGTATCCGACCATGCCGCCCGCGGCGGGGGAAACGTCGCCGAGCGCGACGATTTGGGCCGCTGGAGGAGCGACCATCCAGCCCTGCGAAGCCGCCGGCACCAACATGACCGTGCCGGGCGCGGCGCAGACGCCCATGGGCCACGGGCCAAGCATGGCCGCGGCGGGGTCGCCGAACACGACTGGGACGCCCGCGGCCGCGGGAGTGCCCCCTGCGCAGCCGCCCTGCGGCGAGCTCGTCGCGGCACTGCTGCACTCCGCCAGGGCGCAGCCACACTGCACGCAGAAGGAGGCTGCGGGCGAGTGGCCCGAAGCGCCGCACTGTACGCAGAAGCGCGAGCGCTGCTTTTGGGTATCTGGGGCACCCTGCCTCTTGCCGGTCTTCTCCTCGCCGGCCGAACTGCCGCCACCGCCCGCGAGCGCGTCCAGGAGGACGTCCACCGCGTCGCCCCTGGAAAGGCCGCTGCTGCTGGCCCTGTCGTCGGCGAGGTCGCCGAGCCTCACGCCACACTGGTCCTTTAGAATTAAAAAACGCGACAAACATAAACGTTTGGCGCTCCGCGCGGATCCAAGAAATCCGCGCGGAACGCCAGAAGTTTGTGTTTATGGCGTTTTTTCTTCTTCGATCCTTGCTGCCCGCCTCGGACGGGCCCCCCGTGAGAGCCACGTCGCCGGGGTCGGGCTTGCGCGCCTCCAAGCGGACACGCTGCAGCTCGCAGGCGCCGTGGGCCCACGGGCACTGCCAGCTCTCGTGCGGGCAGCGGCCCTGGGCCCACAGTTTGCACAAGGACGTTTTCGTGAGGTCCGGCTTGCTCCGCACCTCTTCCTCGCCGTGGGCGAAGGGGCACGAGGACCCGCGCTCGCACCCACGCCGCAGGGTGTAGAAGCGGCATAGCGTGGTTTTCTTGAAGAGGCTCCGCGCGGCCAAGTCCTGGCTGCTGGCCCTGCGCGGCGCCCTGGTCGGCCCCGCGGCTGCTCCAGCGCGCCCCTGCTGGGGCTGCTTGCCGGAAACGGCGGGGCTCGCAGGGCACATCTCATCCACAGCGCGGCGCGGGCTCATCCACAGCGCGGCGCGCGAGGGCGGCGCGCAGGGCCAGGCCCCGGGTTCGGGAGGGGCTGCGCGGGGTCTGCCGCGCAGCGCTCGGGAGCCCCGAGCGGCCCACTTGAGCCAAAGTGGCTACGGATGTATCTTCGGGAAAGGCCTGGAACCCTTCGCGGAAATCTGGACGACGGACTTCCGGGCCTTCTGAGGAGGCCCACCCCTGTGAGTACACGGACAGGACACGGCCGAAGGGCCGTTCCTGTACGGGGTCCGTAGGTAGAGGCGAGGAGTGGAACTCCTTTTTCAAAGGCTCTGCGCAGCAAGCAGTGCTTCAAGGATCGTTAGCCTCTCTGACGCCGTTCCATGATAAAAACATATATTCCAATGTGTAGGATTACTGGCGGACGACCTGCTTGGGTGCGCTTATGACCGCTTGCCAGAACATATCATGTAAATCAAAGCAATAGCGATATACAGTGCCAAATCAAATATGTCAAATCGACTGTTACACATGCCAAGACGCCTCAAGCCACTCATGAATAACACACACAATAATGTCAAACGATATCTAGAATCTATGGTGGTAAACTGTATATATATACCATGATACGTAGTACAATAAGTCAATTAGAAATCACGTCCTGTTCTCATAGTAGCGCTCATCCCAAACGCGATTCCCGTAGTCATTGAAGCAACTGATGGTGATAATACGATAGTTGTCCAATGACCAGATGTACTCGTTGTCGCGCTCGTCAACATAGATCCAGTGGGACAGGTGGCGTGACCAATAACGGTACGCATCGCGTTGGTAGTGCTGGAGTCCGCGACGCCACCAAGTGTAGACACTGCGGTACTCGCGTACGCCAGTCCAGTCCGCCAGTCCAGTCCGCGGCTCCGCGGCGTCAGCCCAGCCAGCGCTGCCAGGGGCATAGACAGGCGGGGGGCCATCGCGGCGCGGGTGTGGAGGAGCAGGGGCGAGGCGGACGAGTTCCTCGGGGGCGACAGCGACGTCGTCTGTCTCACCCTTGCCAGCGCCTTTGGGTACCTGCGCCCGAAGGTCTTTCAACGTGACGCGGTTCATGTGACCTCGCCCCTTCCCAAAGGGAGCGGAAAAAAGGTCAAATATCCGCGGTCAAGCCGCTCGCATATCCGAGCCGCTGGCTCTCGCCATGTAGGCGCATTTCCTCGCGCGTGTCCTCGATCGTGAATGGGCGCAGGTGCGCTTGCGCTCTGTCTGTCGTCATCTGGCGATGGAAGACGCCATCTTCTGGGAATCGATGGGCAGGGTCGGGATCCGGATGGTAACGGACCGTTCCCTCCTCGTCAGCGCCCCCCTGCCCATCGACGCGGCAGTGGCCGGAACTGGGATTGCCAGCCTCCAACCACCTGGAGTGTCGGAGCGTGGCCTTGTTAGCCCGTCTGCGGAGAAAGTCTTTGGCAGTGGACTCAGCGGAACGCGCGCCTGCGACGCGAACCTGGACATCCGCGCGCATTATTTGGCGCGCGAAGTTCTCGCCCCTCTGTTCGCGGATCCAGTTGCGCAAGTCAGCCAGGACTTGGACCTGGCGCGAACCTGTTCCCCCATGCTGGGGGGGCCCAGAACAAATGTGGCGCAGGCCATCTACATCTGGGTCCTCATTGGGGAGGTCGCGGCAGCAGCTTGCACAGTGCTGCTTGGCGGCGCGGCACTCAGCAGCTCCGTTCTCGATAAATTGTTGAATCCGCCTGCGGGCGTTGCCGTTGGCGCCCAACTTGCGGCCGATCATTCGAACGATGCGATTCGGGGCGAAGCTGGCGCTATCGGTGGCAAGATCGTCGGCCAACGATCGCAATCCCTCGTCAAACATAGGGTCAGAGAGATCCCCGTCCAAGATCTGATCGCGATCGCGATGTGCTGAGGCCGTGCCCTGATGGTCTCAGAATAGTTTCTTCTCCGCTCAACGGCGGAGCCCCTGGCCCAGTGCATCGGCGACGTGAGAGTCACCCATGACATCGTCGCAGTCGGAACGCATGACCTCAATGAACTGTTCCTAGGTGGGCACAGCGGCAGACGCAACGCCTCGAAGGTCAGGGACAGGGATGCTCGCAGCATCGGGCGGCGGAGTGGCGGAAGCCCCGAGGGTATATTGGTCGCTGATCGGGTTCGTCAGCATGTCGCCGTGCTTCTCGTCTGATAGCACGGTTGATTCCCAGAGACTGAGTGGGGGCGCCAACGCTGGATGATTACTGAGGATGTCCGTCGATGAAGTCGTTGGGGAACGAAGTGCGACATCACTCTGAAGAATGGCGAACACATGTGGAAGCCAACGAGGCAGTTTCAAATCGTCGTCATCGTCCCAACTCATCTCCGTCATCATGGTAGACAGGAAACGATTGCGCCCACAAGTGTTTGGCAATTCTTTGGCCCAGGGCGAGAATGGGTTGAAGGTCATATTGCGCCAATCCGCCTTGGGGTCAAAGCGGAACCGTATCTCCAGATGACTCTCATATGAGTTTGTAAATGTGCATGTTGCCGTGCTTACCTGATCCCTCCAACGGTGGAGTCTGCAGCAATCCAACAGCTTGTGTATGTTTGCCCGTCCTGCGAAGGTCGTTCATCTCTGCTGTAAAACACCTGAGTTTCAAGTCATCGACGACTGCTATCGTTGCGATCAGCTTCGTCTCGTCGGTCTTGGCGTCCTGATTGATGTTCTGTTGGAGTGCGGGCGGCTTGTCAAGAACGGTCACGTCACCGAGGAGGCCAAGGTGGGGCTCGACACCGTACGAGCTCAGGTGGGTAGTGTACATCTCGGACAGTTCTGCATGTAGTGGAACTGCGAAAGCAAAGCCGGCGCGCTCGTTAACCTTGTTCTCGGCCTACCAGATGCCGGCCCAGAACGGGCCTCGGCCTCGAAAAGGGATCTGTACACTGACGCATGGACCAGTGTGAGCAATGCCGAGGATCGGACCGTATATCTTACCGTTGTCCAGGGTGAGCGCGACATCTTTCGTCGGTAGCCACAGGTGATCGCGGCAACGGGCCGAACCATGTAGACGCGCGTATATGAAATCGTTGATGCGGACATTCTGGAAGCGACTGCAACGATCCCATGTGCCAAGGGGAAGTGTCCCCACCAGGGGTTCGACATGCTCTTTCTTGCAATCGTCCACAACTGTCCACCAATAAACCATGGTTAGAATGGCCTCGTCTGTCAGAGTCGGTGCAGGTATCGCCACCAACTCTCTGTCGTGCAGGAGGTCATCCAGTTGCGACTGGTCCTGTTTCGGCACTGGTTGGAGACCTGGGATATTTGGAACACTCGGCGCAGCAGAATAAAAAGATGAACGCGTCCCAACATGCATCGGCTTTGCCTTTGGCGCCTGGGCGCGCGTCCGTGACGACCATGCTGCCGGCGTTGCCACCGGCGCAATCTCGCAGACCTCGCATTGGCTGCGTGGCGCCGGCAACGTGACCAACTCTGGATACTTCCAAATCAAATTAGGTGGCCATAGAGCGCCGCCCCCGACCGTTCTGATGGCCATGATGACCATTGCAGGGACCGTCTGGGGGCGCATGATGGCCCCTTGCTCGCCGAGCCAGAACTCACATCCAGCAGTCATGGCCAAGCGCATGTCGATGACCACGTCGACCTGTTTCTTCTTGTGCTCGAGCTTGTATCCTGGGATCGTAGTGTGAGGGTTCTGCGTGTCATAGCGCACGAAAAAACTGGAACTGTAGACGGCTTCGCGCCGTGTGTGGCGGTCAGCACCATTTTCGTGGAACAATGCCAATCTTTCGAATACTCATCCAGGCATCCTTCGTAGTAGCATGGTGTACGTATTTCACATCCGCCCATGATGAACGCTTCCAGCCCGTATTCCATGGTTGGCTGTTGCGGTGTACGGCAGTATGACCACCAATGGCACACATGGCCAGTGCGCGATCCCATGCAAAGTCTGCCCCCGACAGGTCTGGGTTGGGACGGCGGACGAAGACCTGGAAACGGGCCTTCTCGTCGTCGATGTGCAGCTGCAGGGCGCGCAGGACGGCGATCACGCAGTATTCCTGTGCATATCGCCATGGCTGGCAAGCACTGTTGGCCAGATGCATATGCGCGTGGACTGCATTCCGATTGGGGCCCTGATCATCTCTTGTGAATACTTCGGACACGATATGACTGAAGGGCTTGCGGTGGTTGGCCACGGCCCAAGTATCGACGTTGTTCGAGCTGCCAAGTATTGACGCGACGGTCAAGGAATTGATCCAACCCGTTGCGGCCGCCGTTGTCGTGTCGGAGCGCGGTTGATAGAGCCTTAGCGAACCTCTGTGGTGATCCCATAGTATGACCAGGACTGCGAACCAACCAGGAAAGGTCGGCCCAGCTGTTTGGTAGTCACGTTACATCGAGTAACCCATGTGTAGTCTGGGAAGCAACCGATGTTCTGCAGGTCGGGAGCGCGCTTGATCACGTAGTCGTCGAAGTACAAACTCTGTTTGTAATCCTCGATCGTTTTGCGCGACTCATACTGACCACGCCCGCGCAAGATCGGAGAGGCCCAGGGAGATGGGTCGGGCACCTTGGTACGAATAGCATATTCTCCGGGAATAATGCCAAGCATGGTCTCGTCCTCTAGCGTCATCATAATCTCGCGCTGCGATCGTGCGCGACAGTCGCGTGCACCCATGATCTTGTACGTCGCAGTCTCCATGGGTGGATCCGCAGGTGCGGGAGTGACCTCCGGCGCCGCAGTGTCCACTGCTGAAGGGGACGGCGGTGCCGGCGGTGGAGTAAGTACATTTGCCGATGCCACCGATGCCGCTGGCGTGGGTGGCAATGGTGCCTCCCGTGCTGGTACAGGAGGCGGCTGCTTGGGGGTCGCACCCGCCATAGCGTCATCCTTTTGCGGTGGAGGATGCGCCGGAGGAGCTGGCGGGACAGGTACGCGAATTGTCGCAGGCGCGACGGATGGAGGATCAGGTGGTACCTCTGTCTGTGACTCGGCCTGATTCTGAAACCAGTTGGTAAGCTCAAAGATGCACTCCGCGTTGACATCACGCTCCCGCCCGAGCATACCTGTTTCCTGGCTGGCACGATTCGGGGCGATTTCCACGATCTTGCTCACAAGCTGTTCCAATGCAATGCCACCCAGGAAGCAGCACGACGTACCACGCAGGTCCGGT